GGTTTTATGGCTGCTGTGTATGTCTGAAGATTTGCAAGCCAACAATGTGTACCACTAAATCAAACTTCATCAGTTTTCCCAGGCTTTTTGAGAGACAACAAGAAGGATGCTAACGCTTTCCTTCTTAACCTTGGTGTTTTCAAGAGTCTGTTGTCATTCTCAAGTTGTCCTCAAATGCTTAAGATTTAATGCAGGATTTATTACTCATCTTTATTGTTTGGGTTCTGTTTTGTGGTTTTTTAAAGTCCATAGAGTTTGAAACAGCCACCCGTCTATAAATCAAGCTATATAAATAAACTACCTTCCACCAGAGGAACATAATATTTAGGGTTTGTCCACAAGCAAAAATGTTCTGATATAAAGCGAGAATGTCTACGGGAAACACAGTGCCTAAGGTACCTCCAGTGCTTGAATGAATGCTCCCATTCCGTGCTGAGTGCTTCCTCGTGCCTCAGCTTAGTTTGATTTGGAAGCAGAATAAGATAAACCATTAAAAAGCACTCAGGGGATATCAAGACTTTTTCCAGACTGACCTTGAGCCACGGATGTGGAATGGTCAGTGTGTAGAGTAACTCTTCTGTTACAGCCCTGCTGGGTTGTTTCCTCCTGATCTACTGCTTGCACATGGTCCATTTCCCAAATACCTGCTCATCCCTAGCTGGTAGCTCTGTGTGATCCTTTCTTGCAAAGCTCTTGACATTTGCATACACAGGCACAACCTGTGCCTTCTTAAATGTCCACAGTCACCAACAGCAGGGAGCTGTAAAACAGGGACAATAAAAACAGCAAGAAATTATACATCTGAATCATCAAGGAGAAATCAGTCAGCTTCAGTCTTTAAAGAATGAATTCAGTCAGCTGCAATAATGCTAATACAGCTTAGACCACAACTTTTTGTTATGTGTCTGCAGGACAAGCTTGATCTTGACCAAACCTGAGTGATGCGTGGGTGACATTCTTGGCCATGTGTGATGCTGCCTAAAAATCCCATCAAAACAGTGGACATGGGTTGCATATGGAAGCTCCTTTATTTACAGTTTAAACATGACCGCCTTTGGTCCTTGTGTCCTCTCAGGGATTTATTTTCCTCAAGCTACAGAAGCCAGAAGCTACCTTTTGAAGGTACCTACCTGTTGAAGAGGGACAAAGTCTGTTCCTTCAGGGAGGGAAGCAGTAAGTTTAGTCCCTGTAGAGATATGAAAAGAGAAAATTGGGATGGAAGTTGATCTATTCCTTACAAGAATACCACAGTATCATCTGTGAGATTCTCTGCATCAGCTGAACTGGGGTATACACAAAAAGCACATTACAGCTTTACAGCTGTCAATGTCCTCTGCTACCAAACTGTGCTGCCTCTGGTATTTTCAGACTGTACACAAGCCAGTTACCCATGGCTGTGGGGGAAAGTTGCTGTGAACGGCCATTCAGGAAAACTCACATGGCCAGCAGTGCCTGCCATAGATCTGCTGTGAATGGCACTTTTGCCCTTGCTAAAGGAATGACAAAGAAAAGTGGAAAAAAGAGAAGTGTAGCTGTGAAAGTTTCACAGCTACAGGTTGGGCGGAGAAGAGATTCAAAGAAGCCCTGTGGAGAAGGACTTGGGGGTGTTGGTTGATGAGAAGCTTAACATGAGACAGCTTCAGTGTGCGCTCAAAGCCCAGAAACCAACCGTATCCTGGGCTGTACCAAAAGAAGCATGACCAGCAGGTCAAAGGAGGTGATCCTGCCCCTCTACTCTGCTCTTGTGAGACCTCACTTGGAGTATTGTGTCCAGTTCTGGTGTCCTCAACATAAAAAGGACATGGAGCTGTTGGAGCAAGTCCAGAGGAGGGTCACAAGGATGATCAGGGGGCTGGAGCACCTCCCGTATGACGACAGGCTGAGAAAGTTGGGGCTGTTCAGCCTGGAGAAGAGAAGGCTGCGTGGAGACCTCATAGCAGCCTTCCAGTATCTGAAGAGGGCCTACAAGGATGCTGGGGAGGGACTCTTTGTTAGGGACTCTAGTGGTAGGACAAGGGGTAATGGCTTCAAACTTAAACAGGGGAAGTTTAAGTTAGATCTAAGGAAGAAGTTCTTCACAGTGAGTGTGGTGAGGCACTGGAATAGGTTGCCCAAGGAAGTTGTGAATGCTCCAACCCTGGAGGTGTTCAAGGCCAGGCTGGACAGAGCCTTGGGTGACATGGTTTAGTGCGAGGTGTCCCTGCTTATGGCAGGTGGGTTGGAACTAGATGACCTTAAGGTCCTTTCCAACCCAAACCATTCTGTGATTCTATGAAACTCCAGCTACAAGCTGAAGCTCATTTCCATTTTTTAAAGCCAGCAATCTGGATTTAGATGCCAGCCTCCAGAAGCTGCTAGCAACAAAACAAAGCAGGTGGGGAACTGCTGCCCTTGTATGTCAGGTGAGGAGTTGCAACTGACTTTGGCCTTTTACTTGAAAAGGTTTGCAATTAAATGAAAATATTCCTCTTTCTAATGCTGCTGCCTCTCTTCCCATGCCTCCTGATGTGGCTGAAGCATAAGGTCTGTAGTAATGAAAAGCATCATTTTACTCTGTGGCTACCATTGTTTATTTTATCTCTGCAGCTCATGTTAGGTCTTTGAATTAAATGAAAAACAGCCCTGCTGTTATCAGTAGAGGGCAGAACCAGATGGGAAACTTGTGGTATTGCTCTGAGTAGTGCTGTGTCTTCATGCAGCTGAAGTGTAACACTGGGAGGTGTTGGGCGCCTTCAGGATTGTTCAACTCACCAAAAAAAAAAAAGGAGAGGAACTTCAAAGCATTTCCAGTTTGCCTGGAAGTGTTTCACACCCCAGATTACCCAGTTGTGGCTGGGCAATGTGGCTCCTGCAGATGACCTCTCCCTCTGTGCCATCAGATTGACTTGGACCTTTTTAGGCAGCAGCTTTCCTGAAGTCCCTGGAAGTTTCCATCATCTCAACCCACACACTGCATGAGTTTGCATCTCACACACTGGCTTCTCATAGACAAGTTCAAGCACTGAGGGCTTGTGCAGCAGAAACAGAAAGGGCAATACCACAAGCTCTCCACCAGCTTCTGCCCTGGGCAGATAAGAACAGCGCTTTTGTAAACTGGCCCCAGGCATTGCCATGACTCAGTTCAAAGCTGTGCAGATAAAATAAGCTACAGTGTTGTTCAAAAAATAAAGGACAGTGGTATTAGAAAAATAAAGAATTTTGTAGAAGCTCCAGAAGTACCAAAAGAATGGAATATTTGAAGAGAATAATATTTTAATATTATTGCTACTGTTACTGTTTTGTACTGTGCCTGGACTCCATAGCCTCCCTCTAGGACTGGAGCTGTTACGCTGGGCACTGGAAATGCGTGAAATGAAGAGATAGCCTGTACTTCTAGAGTGCTCCCTGTCTAAGAACAAAAGTGGGAAGAAAAGAAAGGAAGGGAGGTAGAGGAAGGTACCACTGAAATGGTGTAGAGAGCACGAATTTCAGGACTCATCTGTGAACCAGTAAGGACATTCTTGGGAACACAGGGGACAAGGCAGGGCACAGCATCATCCTCACATCATAAGAAATTCTTCTCACTTTTTTTTTTTCCTCAGAAGCCAAATCAACATCGGGGATTTCTGTTCAAAGATGTAAAGGGGGCTGAAGCTCCTGGGTTACGCTAATTTTCCACAGGAGTCAGACTCCTACCTGCTTTTATCCAAACATGGCTGTATTATTGCTTCCCTGCTTCACAATTTCACTTCTACTGTCTTCACATCATCCTTTTCACTGTGTGAACATTGCCTCTCTTGGAGAGACAGCATCCATCTGGGGGGAGGGGAGGAAACAAACATTGAAAAAAACCCAAAACCAACAACCAAAGAAACAGCAGCTGTTTGATTTTGCTCAGACACTAGCAGCATTTGCAGAAGTCCCTGAGGAAATGACTTGAGTGGGCTTGAATCAGCCAGAGCAGTCCAAGGAGAATGAACTTCATCAGCTGGCCTTGATGTTCATGACAGGGCAAAGACTCAGCACATGCTCCAGGGGAAGACAAAGTCTGCACACCTGCTGTTGCCTTCGGGGATGTGAAAGGACCTTTGCATTCCCTCAGGGTGAACCACATCTTGGGTTGCCTCATATTGGTGTCTCTCAGTGCTTAATTTGTCCCCATCGCTCCTCTGACCATTGCCATAGAAAGGTTTTTTTAGCATTTATGCTCTGTCGACTGTAATGAGATCACAGGGAGAAAAGAAAAGGACCAAGTGAAAGATTACTCTCAGACCTAGGACAAAAATTTATCTTTCTTCCTGTGTGCCCAGAACACATCCTCTTATAACAAACAGCCCAAGACCACTCTGAAGCCACCTCTCAAAAGAAAGACACGGTATCATCTTGATCGTAGTTGATAAAAGCCTTTGTTAAGATGGCAGGAACCAAGGAGCAAGTCTGGATATCATAAAAGGGGAGACAAAATCCAGGAATATAGGGAGTTATGCTTTTGTTCCTACCAGGTGTCATGGAACAGTTTGATGAAAGCAGATGTGTGCTACCCGTGGCTAAGGTTTCTTTGAAGGAGAGAGGGATTTTAGATTAGAGCAACTGTAAAGTCCCATGTAACACCAGTGCTGCTTTTCCCCGCCCTTCTCTGCAGGGACCCTGTAAAGGTGGTGGTAGCACAAATGCCAGAGGCTGGCAGACCTGAAATTCAACATCTGCAAGACCAATGTTACACAAGGTATCTTTTCTTAGTGTAGCTCCAGCACAACGTCCCAAGAACAGGACCAGCATTGTGCTGCTGAGAAAACATGAGATGCAGTATTTTTCCTTCCCCTGTGTAAATTCAGTTTGCTTTGGAATGTCTATCAATTGTAGCTCTATCTGTTAGTGTTCATTTGTGTCCTATAACTATTTATTCTTTGAAAAATGATCTCTGTATAGCTAAAAGTGTTTTGTTTATTTCTCCTTGGTGATTGGAAATGGTATTTTTTTATTATTGTGTTTAACCTTTTCTTTCTCTAATCCACCTTCAGGTATCTCCATGCCTATACCTGTCTTTGGACTGCAAGATGATTCCAAAGTGTTTAAGAAAGGCAGCTGCCTACTTGCAGATGACAGTTTTGTCCTAATAGGCTCTTTTGTGGCATTCTTTATCCCTCTAACCATCATGGTGGTCACCTACTTTTTAACCATCAAGTCGCTGCAGAAGGAAGCCACACTATGTGTGAATGACACTGGCCCAAAGACCAAATTTGCTTCATTTAGCTTCCTCCCTCAGAGTTCCCTGTCCTCAGAGAAACTCTTTCAGCGCTCTTTGAACAGAGACGTGGGAACTTCTGGAAGAAGAACCATGCAATCCATCAGCAATGAGCAGAAGGCTTCCAAGGTTCTTGGCATTGTCTTCTTTCTGTTTGTTGTGATGTGGTGCCCATTTTTCATCACCAATGTGATGGCTGTAATTTGCAAGGAGTCATGCAATCAAAAAGTCGTTGGAGAACTACTTAACGTGTTTGTCTGGATTGGCTACCTTTCTTCGGCTGTCAATCCACTTGTATATACGTTGTTCAATAAAACCTACCGCTCAGCTTTCTCTCGTTACATTCAGTGTCGCTACAAGGAGGAGAAGAAACCCTTCCAGCTGATTTTAGTGAACACTATACCAGCGCTTGCATATAATTCCAGCCAGCTCCAGCTAGCACAAATGAAGAGTTTGAAAAAAGAGGCAAAAATGATGGCTAAGGACTATTCGATGGTCACGATAGGAATACATCATTTGGATGGTACCTCCAAGGGAAGTATCAGCCCAGCAAACGAAAAGGTTAGCGGTGTGTGACAGTCGGCAGCTGCCATGACAACCACCATGCATACGCTGGGAGCTTCACCTGGCTGTGAGAAGCTCTGATAGCTTAGGAAAATCAGCCCTGTTCAAGACACCCACCAAGAACATCGCATACTCCTCATATTATCCTGTGGATGAAAAGCAGGGTTGAAATGGTATCAAATGTGCAATTTCTTTTCATACAGTACTATGGCTGTTTTAAGCACAGGCTTTATTAAACTTATTTTTTTAATATTCTAAAGGATATATTTCTTAAAGAAAAAAATGCAATTTCTTGTATTATAACATGGGCTGTGAAGAAACCTACGCATTTCTTTTTGCAAATGAAAGCTAAGCTATCCTTTGATGTTCTCGCAGAGTAGGCTCCAGCTAGTTTGTCTTGCTACAATGGAACTTTGTTATCATTAACTGAATGAGCACTTTACAGAATTTTAAATAAAATGATGGTTAATTTGCTAACATATATTTAAAATAAATTTTAAAGTATTAAAGAAAAATCTATTAAAACCTGTATAGATTAATGATATGGACGTTTTGGTAAGAGTGTTTTTATGGCTATTTTGTTTTTCTGAGTGGCCATTCTGAAAGGGCACTGGGCTTTCTGCCATTTGTTCTATAGTTCAAAGGTAAATTATACTTGAATGATCTTCTGTTTCTATCACCATTCCTGATCTTTATTTCATATCTTGTACTTCATTTCTATTCAAAAAGTTTCATCTGTTCAGTTTAAAACTTTAAACTATTTTTTTCAAAAGTAATTATTTGGCTTGATTCCCTGCTCCTTCCCACTGGTGTTGACAGGGGAATGAAGTGAGAGAAGAATGGAAAATCAGGGGCAACATTGCTAAATAACTTCAGGAACGATTGCAAATCCATGCCTGTGTTTGATTCCAACAGAGTCTGATCTAAGTAACGTCAGTGGACGTTTTGCATGAGTAAAGCCTGCAGTAAAATGTTGCAGCAGATCCTCTCTCATCATTTCTTTGGTTAAAAAAGCCATTCTGAAGAATGTCCTTCCAGTTTTGTTCAGGGCTTGTAGAGCCAGAATTACTAGAAAACTGTTGGTGGCTCAAAATTGTTTTCCCTGGTTTCGCTGTTTTGCTGTTACTGTAGATTGCTCAGGAACAGTAGGTAGCTTGCACTATTAGGACTCAGCCTTAATGAAATATGTACAGCCAAATGGGGCCCACTTGAGAAAGAACACGACTTATAAGTGGCACTGTATTTCACCTGCATAGCTCCAAGGGCAGAATACATTACATAAAGAACATCAAACACATTTTTTGAGAATCATCGACAATTACACTGAAGCCAGTGGGATGCTGCTGGAGAGCAGAAATATAAATGTTCCATCCACCTGCAAAACCTAAATCCAAGCATTTTATTTGTTCCATGAATTTTGCAGCTATAATCATCAGAAGCAGAATGTATTCCAGTTTCAGATCCTGTCCACTCTGAAAAAAACACTGCCTACCCAGAAGCCAAACTCCAATGCCTTCATCAGTCCTTCTCCTGAAGCTGTTCAGCTTTTCATAGACCAATTAAATTTCCACTAAGGCAAAGAAAGAGAGAGATAGAGATAAACTGAATCTGATTACAGCATACTAGCTGGGGGTCTTTGGGAGAGGAAGATTTCTAGCTTAAGCTACAGATCTGTGGTAGAAGAGGACTTAAAATGTGGCTGGGTATTTGGCTGATTTCCAAGAAACTGCTGCTATTGTTCTTATGCCAGTATGATAACTAAATCTGCCAGTTTTACGAGCCATGTGGGATAGGTCAGAGCCAACATGCACAAGTCACACAGGAGCTCTGCATGCACGTGGTGACACTGATTCACACCACAGCCCTCAGCCTCCACACCTGGGTCAGTGTGTTGTGCTGTAGCCCCATTGTGGTGGTGTGTCATCCATCTGCTCATGCCCATTTATGGTTTTCCCCCCAAAACTGTTTATTTAGGATGGACTGATATATCATGCAGTATAAACGCTGTACTCACCAAGGTGGCTTATACGGATTCTCTGGCTCTAGGTACAGTTGATCACCCCAGTCAAACCTTTTCAGCAGAGGGAAAAATGAACTCACTGCTCCTACCTCTTTATGCATACCTTGCTCCCACACATTGCTGTGTGAGGGGTGCCCAGAAGCAATTGCACAGAAGGGACTTCAGGGGGAATCTGATAAATGCAGCTGAGCGTGAGGACCACTGTAATAGTAGATATGGGGTTTGAACTAAGGACAATGGCCAGCTCACATCACACACTCCAGCCAGGCAAGGGATGGAGCACTGATGAAACATATGTGATGCAGGGCATCCCAAGATACAGGGTATTTGGTTACCTCCTGGTGTCCAGATGTCTCCGCTCCATAATGGGAATGATGCTTTCAAGGATTCACCCTTGCGATCAGGCATCTCAGGAAAGAAGTAGGCAATAACAAAACCAAAGGTCTTTTGCGAGTAGAGGTCTGAAGTTCAGGATCTACTACCAAACCAGACTGGATTCCTATGATGAATACTGACACAGGATTCAAGGTCTGTAACTGTTTAAGGGGAAAGGAAGCACAGATGCTTCCATCAGTGGTGGGAATTGCCATGTTTTGTACAATTTGTGCCCATCTTGATGCAAGTGTCTCTGGCATTGCAAGAGTAAAAAGCAGATGGGATAGACAGCTCAGGTCCTGTTGCACATTAGCGCCATGGAGCAGAGCCTGCTTGCATACTGTGTGGTGGATATGGCACCCTGATTTCTCCAAAGCGCAATTCCTCCCCAAACTCCTGAGGGTCTAGCTGCTGGTCTCCTTCACCAGCTTGAGCTTGATAAACTGAGCATTTAACGTTAACTGCTTATGCTCTCTGCTTACCGTCTGCATTTCACCCACGTGGAAGAGCAAATCAGCCTCCTTGTTTCTTCCTTTCACCTTCTGTTCCTCTTTCACAATGTCAAATTGCTCAGGTTGCAAATACTGACAGGGAATGTTTCACTGCAGAGATGGTTTCAATTACTTGCTTGATGTTTCATTACAAGATGACTCTGAACAATAACTTTTATCCAGCTTATTAAAATAAAACCGATGGTTTGGACCCAAGAGACTTGACAGCATTTCTTTAATTGACAGCTGGAGGTAAGATAACACTTCTTTTTGGCTTAGAAGCAGGGATATCTGATGCCTGACATTTTAATTCTGTGAGCGCTCAGATAGGTGGTTTTATTGAATGGTCAGCAGATTTTGCCTAAGAAGCCTCTCAAAGCCAAGAATGCACAGCAGATAAAGACCAAGATCTCCAGCTCTTTATGGACATCTTTGACAGTTTAGCGAGGCCTGATTCTGCCACTTTTCACCAAAATGTTAACAGATTTTTTTTGTGTGGTTTGCCTTAGTGAGGATGACAGAGTCAGCATCTGAAGTTTTTCTACCCACCATGCCAGATCTGCGGGATGTTGTTCATCAGTAGAGAGCAATTAATAGAGTCATTATACTGCAGACAGATGATGAAGTTTAGCTGTTTTAAATGAGATTTTCTAGCACGGGGCCCACGCTTGGGATGAACACTACAGTTTAGTATGACCAGCTTCAGAGCAACACTTCCCTCTTGCAAAAAAAAAGTTTTCATTATGCATCAGACTGGAAGGAAACTTTTGTAATTTTGCAGGCAAAAAAAAAAAGAAGACATTCACACAGACCAGCTCAGAGGTTAGGGCCTTCCTCTACCTTACAGGAAAAGCATGCTGAGTCAGTCTGCCATATCTGCACCCAAAAAACTCGCTTTGTCTGAAAAAATATTTTAGTCAACAATTTTTCAAGTAGAGCGACATTTTATTGCTGTTAAGACCGCATCTGAAAAATGTCCAAAGACATAAAGCTCACCATGTATATCCTAAGCTGGTGTGCATCCTTTACACACTTCAGGGTAAAAAATCCTATGTATCTATCCCATCCAGCCAACCATGCACTGTACTTATGTAATTACTGCCAGATGGTGAGATGCATCTATTTTGAATACCTGAATGTTTGCTTATGTAAATACATAGAGAAAAACATTTGCTGTATTTTGTAATGTTAATGTAAAATGGTGTTCCAATGCTTTATTGTTTTGTCAGATCCCACTGCTAGTAAAGCAGATTAAAATATTTAAATACCATCAGTTGTTTTATAACTGGAGATTTGTCTGAAGTAGTTATTTCAGTTTGGTTTAATTTCTCCTGTGTATATTCACAGTACAATACGTGCTGAAGGTTAAAGCCCTTTTAAGTATCTTGCTGGACAAAACAAAAGACATATCGCAAAATTTAACTATCTCTGTAGACTGGCTGAAAATGAACCATTGCTATCATTCTCTTTTCCTAAGGACAGCCATTCTTCTATTGAAAATGTATACCTTTGGATAAGTACATATAGCTTAAAAGGTTTAAGTTTCAGAAACAATTTATTTGCAATAGTAATAAGCCAATTAATACCATTAAGAAGTAGCACTGTAAGATTAAGATTAATAACCAGCTGTATTGGGTTTGCAAAGTTTTGGTAGAGGGGGCTACAAGGCCAGCTTATATGAGAAGGTGGTAGAAGCTTCCCCCATGTCCGATAGAGCCAATGCCAGACAGCTCAAAGACGGATCCACCACTGGCCAAGGATGAGCACAATAGTGACAGTGGCAGAGCCTCTGGGATAATGTATTTAAGAAGGGGGAAAGTTACTGAGCAACTGTAGCTGAACAGAGGAGTGAGAATATGTTAGAGAAACATCCCTGCAGCAAGGGCAGTGCAGGAGGAGGGCAGAAGTTGCTCCAGGTTCCAGAGCAGAGATTCCCCTGCAGCCCATGGTGCAGACCATATTGAGGCAAGCTGTCCACCTGCGGCCCATGGAGGTCCATGGTGAAGCAGATATCCACCTGCAGCCCATGGAGGATGCCACACCAGGGCAGGGGGATGCCCGAAGGAGCCTGTGACCCTCTGGGAAGCCTGTGTTGGAGCAGGCTTCTGTCAGGACCTGTGGCCCCATGGAGAGAGAAGCCCACACTGGAGCACATTTGCTGCCAGACTTGTGACCTCATAGGGGACCCACAC